GATCCCCCGAGACGTACACGTTCACATACAACATTAAATATATACACACATACACTCAGATAACGGCTGGCATGTTTCGATTTTATTTGCCCCTATCATGTGATGGGAATAGCATGCTAAGATAATGTATGACATTCACTACTTGCATTTATATAAATAAGACGAGTCAAATCCAGAACAAGTGCCCGCGCTGTTCACTGAACATGCCACTTTGAGGAATGAGTGAGTGAATGAGCTGGGTTAAACCGTTATTATCTTACGACATATCAGCGAGTGCGTGAGAGAGTTTGGTTTACCACCGCTTTGAATAGCATTCCCGTTATATCACGGCGTTTGTGATGCAGGTCCAACACGCTTACCACTTGGGTGAAACCCACGAGCACGTGACTGACAAACCTAGAAACATAATCAGGGCGAACTGGGATTCGAACCCACGGTCAAAGGTTTGTAGCATCCTGAGTGAGTGAGTGAGTTGGGTTTAACGCCGCTTTTAACAGTATTCCCGTTATATCGCGGCGTGTCAGCTTAATGTGGGAGGAAAGCCCGAAGTGATGCAGGTCTCAGACGTTTACCACTTCGGTGAAACCCACGAGCACGGGTATGGTGCTGACAAACCTAGAAACAAAATCAGGGGGAACCGGGATTCGAACCCCCAATCATAGGTTTCTGGCGTTCAAGGGACGCAACTCTGCACAGCGAGTCACGGCGCCTTAGACGACTGGGCCACCTGGGCCCCCTGTAGCATACAGAAGGGACGCAACTTGATTGCAACACACTTCCCACCGAGAATATGGTTGAAATGTTGCCAATGTGTCGTTGTCTTTGAGCCACTCACTAATACAATTCTGATTACCCCACTGGAAGTGTTCAATTTTCTGTCCAGGTATTTGGAAGCTTGGACCCCCTTCCTCAAAGCAATCACAGCGCTACGACTGCCGTAAGTCCATAGTAATGAATGAAAGTTACGATCGTCTTAATGCTAATGTAATTTACTGGAACGGGCATTTGGGAGTGATATTGGTCTCACGCAAAAACAAAATACCGGTAACTGTTCTTGACTGTATGTATGTGGTTTGTACTGTGCCTTGGATACGGACTAGAAGTTCAGGGCCCACTTGCACAAAGCGATCTTAGCGCTAAGATGATCGTAACTCCCATACTTTAACATCGGCTTACAATAGTTGTAGTGCTAAGATCGCTTTGTGCAAGTGGGCCCTGGATTAATGCACCTATAGAGTGACGCGCACGAGCGCGTGCGTGCGTATGTGCGTATGTGCGTATGTGCGTGTGTATGTTAGGGGTGGGGTGTGTGTGTGTGTGCTTGCTTGTACCTGTCCGGATATATGTCGGTTTGATAGTGCCTTTCCACTGAGCTACCATGCCACAGTTTAACATGACCACCACTTAGAGCCGACCAGTCCTTGTTTATCCCCTTTATATTTTTACGTTCTTTGTTATAACGCGACCGGGGAACCATTGACCGTCCGCTCAGGGGCACCCTTGGGTATAAGTGTAGTGGTGACCAAGGTTCATAATCAGCGAATCCGACACGACTAAGGGAGGCAAGCCTGCAGTCACTTGCATAGACGGTGATATGAGCCCTGGAGGTTTCCTTGACACGCCGCATCTTGTACAAGTGCGGAGTAACGCCCTTCCCTGGTCTCGTCTTCATTATCCCCCGAACTGCGGCGAGCCAATCATCACCTAATGCCAATGATGTCACTCTGATCCCACCTGAGCACCACTGTTACCAGAATAAGTGTCGCGATAAGATAAACTGAATGAGCGCTGTGGGAACCGATCCGCCACACGTGTCGCTCAGAGCTCAGAGCAGCACAACCGTGTGTGGAGATTCGGAGGGGCAGCCGCGATGGTTTGGTATCAGAAGGTACGGTACGACTCACGGAAAACTCGGGTTGATTTGCTCGCATCAGGAAGCTATTCGTCTAAACTAAGCAGCACAGCTAAATACCGCCCATTCCGAACATACGGCAACATCGCTGGAATACAGGCACAGCTCGCATACAGCTGGTGAACACCATGCTTGTTTCTACATCAGGTGACTGGTCAGCTGTGGCAGCTGCGACAGATTGATGCGATGACATAAGCCGATGCAGGACCACGTGTAGCGCAAGAAACACGTGTTAGAAGGAAAAAATATCATGAGAAAATATCCAGATCACCGAACTCATAAAGAACTCTTTATATATTTACTTCTTTCGTTAATGTATTTGTACATCTGAGAGACCAACTGCAGTAATTTTCAAGCGGACGCCAAATCCTGCATTTGTATACCCATTAAAATTAAAAAAAGGACCCTAAACATTTCAAAGTGCATCCACTGGGATGAGGAAAATGTGTATGAATGCTCAGGAATGAATGCTGCTTTTTGATAATTTGGTACAACTTAGATTAATTTCCGCACACGATTATATAAAAAACAACAACACACGAATCCTCGTCGATATCACTGACACTTGAAGATTCAATTCAGTTTGGGGACTCCATGTCTATGTTTAGATAACGGCCTCTGAGCATGCGCAATCATTTGTCGCTTGTGGTTGAGGATGGTATTCAATTTTTGTGCATTTCCCCTGGACTCCATTTGTCGAGCTTTGGGCTCCTACAATCAAAGACCTTGAGTCCCCTGAACCCTCAGAAAGATAATCCACGTAAAAGCCTGCCGGGAAACAAAGGTGTCATGTGGCTCGATGATTTTATTGAATACCTTATGGTGTTTACCAGTCGCTATCATATTCAGGAATTCATTAGTCAACAAAATGCACTCACGGAGAATGTTCTCCCACAGTACTTGAATATTTATTGTCACTTAACACCATAAAATCGACTACCTCCGATAAGACTTGTATTTCTGCCACATCCCGGTTTATGAGGCTTCCGAAGTTTATGATTAGCTCTGTTCGTCATTTCTGAGCTGGGCGATCATGCCATCGGATATAAGCAGCATGTGCCATTACATTTTCAATGCACTGAAAACAAGGAAATGGCAATGGAAGAAAGTCTACCAAGTATGATTATGAGACAAACTAGCTATCTAAGTAAACCTTCAATACTTAGGTATTATACTATGACGTATTAAAGGTGAGTGAGTTGGGTTTAACGCTGCTTTTAACATTATTCCAGTTATATAACGGTGTGTCAGCTTAATGTAGGTGGGAAGCCCGAAGTGATATAGATCTAAGACGTTTACCACTTCGGTGAAACCCACGAGCACGGGTATGGTGCTGACAAACTTAGAAACATAATCGGGGCGAACTGGGATGCAAACCCACAATCATTGGTTTCTGGCGTGCCCAAGGGACGCAACTCTGCACAGCTAATAGCGGCGCCTTAGACGACTGGGCCAGCCGTGCCCCCATAAGGTGAGCTTGTACCCTGATATTATTTAGCACACTCCACCCCCAACAAACGTTTCTGGGCTGGGGAGTTTCTGAGACGATGACGTATTTTCTTATTTTATAAAATTAAAAACCATATGATATGACATTCAGTATGGACATTTGAACGCCCGTTAAGATCTGTAAAATAAACAAAATCCGTGCAAAAATATATCAACGCAACCCAATCTGTTGGGGTGTTGTTTTTGCACAATTGTATTGACGACGACCGACACACAGGCCTTGACATAACCTCCGTTGGATACCCAGCACCAGGGACATTGAAATTAAATGCTGACATGTTGACACGCCTACGCCCATAGGGCTTTCTCCAACAATGGGCTGATAACATACATTGTGAGGAAATTAAATTATCTTTCAGCTTGTACGATAATTTAATTTACTCAACCATTTGTCACCGAGAGCTGAAATGTACCGTAAGGTTTCGCTTGTTTGTTTCTTTGTTGTTTAACGCCGCACTCAGCAGTATTCCAGCTATATGACGGTGGTCTGTAAATAATCGAGTGTGGACCAGACGATCCAGTGAATGACATCATGAGCATCGATCCACGCAATTGGGATACGATGACATGCATCAACCAAGTCAGCGAGTCTGACCACCCGATCCTGTTAGTCGCGTCTTACGAATGCAGTACACATTGTTTTGTAAATGAAAGATTCGATAATATGCACAATTAAGTTAAGTAAAAACCAGTTTGTCAATTTCATGCACTCCGCCAATTTGTTAGAGATAAGAAAATTTCAGTATTCAGCTAATGGACCCGCCATGTTGTATTATACAGGCTGCTAAACCAGGCAAACCAGTGAATGAAAGCATAAACCACGATCCACGGACAGGAAAAAACGTTGCCACCCAGGTCACATGACCCGACCCCGGTTCAGTTTAAACATTGAAGGAGACGTGATGCTATAAAGAACGAGATGTGCTCAGAGTCCCTTTGGCTCACGATAATGTGAAATATTAAGGTGCAGAAACTGTGAAATATCGGTATTAAAATTATAGGACAACTGGGATGTTTTGTATTCTTCAAATGAGAAAGCACTAAGCCTGCTAAAATGAGTGAAAATGGACTTTTTCATATTTCAATCAAAATCTATGAGCATATCCGTGACCCTTGATAAAGTTTTTCTAACTCATTTTAGACATTTGATCCTTATATATACGATTGACAAGTCCAAAACATGTGGTTTTTAATGGTTTTAACACGCATCGGATAGTTTAAGCATTCCTGAAATTGTAGCTCAATTCTTGAGCTGTGCAGATCCTATGGACCAACATGTGCTCATCGTACGATGTCCGAGGAGCTTGTCTGTACCACACATATGAACAACGTAATTTCAAGAACATTCGCTTGACATCATACCAGCTGACTCAAATACTTCCGCACAAGAACACATTGAATAACACATCCATTACATTGTTGACATTCTAACTTCGCTTGAGTTAAGAACGCTAGTTTGGGGCAAGGGAAACATTCAGACACCCTGCAACCATTGCGTATTTAATTTGACAAACTTAATCATACATTCTGCTGTGATGTCACTAAGACAACGAACATTATCAATATAATTTCTACTTACCCGCCATGCACCCTGTGGCCAGAATCAACAGTGTCAATAATAAATTTGTATCCATATTTTAATATGACAACTCGGATTCAGACATGCGACTGTGCCTGTTGAATACGGATGTGTAGAACGCTGTGTGGAGCTTGAGTTGGAGTGACGTCATCACAGAGGCTCGCGCTGGGTCAAAAGACGATCATGTGCAGGGCACGATGACATTTTGTAAATTCCAACTGTTTGTAAAAAATGCTATCAAAAAGCTAAATATGTGCATTGAACTATAGCTGTGTTGAGCAGGAAGCGACAGTGATCCCTCCGCACATTCCTCGCCTGACGCCAGTAGGTGCACCTTTCACACATGCTGCACGGGTTACCGTCCAACCAAGTTGTAAGGAGACTATTGTTGTGTTGCAATGTTCTCCATCGATACAGGTCGTAAGAAGCTGACATGGACATCTGCACCTCAACGATGTTAGAAGTCCGAAGTTGTTTCATATATTGTCAATATACTACTTTTTGGACCGCCTCCGAGGTGTAGTGGGTAAAGCGTTTGCCAGGAGGGTGGAAGGTCTGTGGTTCGATCCCCGGCCTCACCATACCAAATGACGTTAAAGGATGGTACTTGTTGTTACCCTGTCTTAGCTGGGTATCCATGTTAATCTGAGGCGTGGTGTCAGTGGGCTCGCTCTCTTGCGACCCGGGCCTAATATACAATTTATTTTGGACCAACCCCAGCACATTTATCAATCACAGAAATTTTCCCGAGTTGATGGGCCTATTATGAGCAATCCTAGCCCTGATCGAGAAAGGAGCATTTTCATTAGAAAAACTACCAAATCACGCGTACATTTAATGCACAGATTATCTATTAGTCTTGTTGTTAATATATAGGTCACTGTCTATTCTCCTATGTCGCCGCGACAGAAGACTACATTCGTTAGCCTTCGGGGCGAACTTCGCGGCTTCGCATCCCGCTGGCGACACGAGTTTTTCATCAAGGTAGATAGAGGGGAAAAAAGAAGATCCTCCCATCTCAAGCGGTGTTTAACTAATAATTCAGTGTGTTACGGTCAAAGATAAGGGGGCATGATTAAAGACCACTTAATCACTGTCGTCTTGTCCGATTTGTCAGAGTGACTGACTGCATGTTCTTGCTGCGACTGTCCCACTAAACTATATATAAAACGATCGACTCCACGCCTAGACAGTCAGTCGGTTTCTGCAGTTATGTCTGACTTTACTTCAGCACCTAACCGACACGTCTTTAAGTACCCCTTAGACGTGTTCCCCTCTAGTGAAAGCATGGGTTTAATGCTGAGAAACCAAGAATCATATTTAGGGCAAGATTCGAACCTACCAACATCGGATCCGCCAATGTGTGCACACTAAACAGACATAGAGACAGAAAGCACATTTCTTCAATATTCCCAAACTGTCATGTAAATTATGAGAGGTGCATCCATATATGCAAAATCATTCATATATTAAAAAGCCGGGTTAGAATAGGTCTTCAGCAATCCATGCTTGCATCGTAGGCAGTTTGGCAGGGTATAGGTCTTATATATAGCAGCTGGGCTATTATTTATCTATATATATATTTAACTTATTCAACTCAGGGAATTTATAAGACATATATATATATACTCCCTGTTAAAACCTATACCCTGCCAAACTGCCTTCGATACTTGTAACAGGCGACTAACGGGATCAGGTGGTCAGACTCGCTGACTTGGTTGATGCATGGCGTCGTATCCCAGGTACGTGAACAGATGCTCAAGATATCACAGACTCGATTATTTACAGATGTCATATAGATGGAATATGGTCGAGTGTGACGTTAAAGAAACAAACACACATATAACGGTGACTTGGTTGACAACGTGGCGTCCCGTCCCGACGACATGAATCACAATCTCATTAAAATCAGACCTCAGTGCTCGCTACCGCAAAACAAAGATCTGAGGACATCCCATTCATCCGACCAATCAGAGCATCGCCTACCAGATTATGAAAGTGACAGTCGGAATGTGATTTCTAATCATGCAGCCTCGAAAACTTTAACTCCGAACGATAGTTACGGGTTTAACGACTGAATCAATACAGTCTAGACCATCTATTAGCCATTCCAGCCATTAGCTATTTTGTTCAGGTTTCAAATTTGTAATAGAGAATTTGTCAAAATATGTTTCGAAGCGTAGTCGCCAATTTGAAATTAGTGCGGTAAAGCACGAGAAAGATGCCTTCTGATTGGTCATTCCATTGGTCGGTCAAAGTTCGCGCAAGGTCGGTCTGACGTGACCCGTAATGGGATGTCCTCATATCTTTGTTTAGCGGTAGCAAGAACTAAGATCTGATTTTAATGAGATTGACATGGATCACTGCTCTTGATACTGATCACTGGATTATCTGGATAGACTCGGTTGTTTTCAGACCACCGTCGTATGACAGGAGTATTGCTGGGTGCGGCGTTAAGGAACAAACTAACTCAAATATATACTGAACGACAAACGTTCATGTAACATTGAATAAGATTTAATGCAAAGTTCTGTTTTTTACCAAATCTGAAACAATTTCGGTTTGCAACAGATAACAGACTCCTGTAAGTGTTCAAATGGTTTAATTTGCCATACTGACTTCAGAAAATGCGTGATTTCATAAAAAAACATGAACATGCCAAAATATCAATTTACAAATCAATAGCGTGTGTGTCCACCTCTGGTTGCGATGCAAGCAACACACCTTCGTCTCATGAAATGGACCAGGCGTCGTGGGATATCTGTCCATATCTGCTGGAGCATATTTCGAAGTTCCTGGAGTGTCTGTGGAACACGTGGTTGACGACGAAGGCGCCGAACCATCTCATCCGACATGTTCTCGATTGGTGAGAGATCAGGGGAGCGAACCGGCCAGGGGATGACATTCACGTTGTTTTGTTGAAGAGAATCCTGAACAAGTCGAGCAAAATGAGGCCGGGCGTTGTCATGTTGAAAGGTAACGACGACGACGCAAAAACGGTAGAACAACAGGGCCGATGATCTCGAAGCGGTACCGCTGTCCATTGAGATTTCCCTCTACCACTATCAAACGGAACTTTTGTTGTTGAGTATACTTGTGTGCGCGTGACAGATGCTGCCAGTAGAGGACATGCCTAGCCTTTTCGCGAACACCTGTTGTCATCAGTGATCCATTCGTTTTATTTTCACCACTATGTTTTCTTTTACGCTCTATGGAATCTGTTTCGGCGCATAATCAAGACTGATTTTTCTCTGGCTTTAGCGTTTTGAATTGACTTGGGAGGAAACTACCACTTTGGATTAAGACACAAGCACGGTGTGGACAGACAGAAGATCCACATCAGGACGAACCAAGGATCAGCCATATCAGGACGAACTAGGGGTCAGCTATATCACGACGATCTAGGGATCAGCTATGTCAGGACGAACTAGGGGTCAGCTATATCAGGACACACTGGGGATCAGCCACACCAGGATGATCAAGAGATGAGCCATATCACGACGATCTAGGGATCAGCCATGCCAGGACGCATTAGGGGTCAGCCATATAAGGAAAAACTGGGGATCAGCACACCCCGGTACAACTGTAAGGGACGCAAATCTGTCCGGGGTAGATGTAGCGCCCCAGACCATGGGAGTCACGTGTTCCCATCTATGTGCTTAAACGAGTTCCCGTCTTTGTGCTTAAGTGAGTGAGTGAGTATGGTTTTACGCCGCTTTTAGCAATATTCCAGCAATATCACGGCGGGGGACACCACAAATGGGCTTCACACATTGTACCCATGTCGGGAATCGAACCCGGGTCTTCGGCGTGACGAGCGAACGCTTTAACCACTAGGCTACCCGACCGCCCCCTTTGTGCTTAAACGAAACCTACCGAACTATATTCCCAATATGTATTGTTTGTGCCGTGGTTCCAGTAGTTCCTACACCGACACCGCTATGTGCAAGGTCACCAGGTCATGTACTCTGAAGTGCCAGAACAACGGTCAGGCTGAGAGACTGAGCTTTGGAGAAGCAAGCAAGTGCTTCGTGAATCACGTTCAGTATATACATTACACGAAAACCGCGTTCTGCAGCTGCCAAGGGTATTACGACGATAAGATGAATCAAACATAGCACAATATAAGACACATGTGTGCACGTTATAATCATATCCTCAGCCATTTATAGTTTTCTGTAAGAGCAGTAAAATGATCGTCACGATATATAACATATCTATGTACATGCTCTGCAAAAGTAAGGTTCTATACAAGCTTAAGAATGTAACCAACATAAGTTTAGAACACATCTCGTCATCAATGTTGCTGTCAGCTAAGGATCATAACACGTGTTCACAATAATGGGGGGCGGTTGGGTAGCCTAGTGGTTAAAGCGTTCGCTCGTCACGCCGAAGACCCGGTTTCGATTCCCGACATTGGTACGATGTGTGACCCATTTCTGGTGTCCCAGGCCCTGATATTGCTGGAATATTGCTAAAAGCGGCGTTAAACCATACTCACTCACTCACAAAGACGGACACTCCATAACACGCCCTTGAGCCGTACAGAGAATATACAATGTGCTTCCACCTCATTCACGACAGATGAAGATGGTAAACCCAATTTGGTATCCAATTTAAGGTGTATGGTGTTTAGGATTTTTCTGTGTATGGTTAATACTACGGCTTGAATTACTTGTTTTGTTTGTTGTTTAACGCCGCACTCAGCAATATTACAGCCATATGACGGAGGTCTGTAAATTATCCAGATTGGACCAGACAATCCAGTGATTGTCATCATGAGCATCGGTCCACGCAATTGGGATCGATGACATGCATCAACCAAGTCAACGAGCCTGACCACCCGATCCCGTTAGTCGCCTCTTACGATGATATGCCGAAACAGATTCCATCGAGCGTAAAAGAAAACATAGTGGTGAAAATAATACGTATGGATCACTGATGACAACAGTTGTTCGCGGAAAGACTCGGCATGTCCTCTACCGGCAGCATCTGTCACGCGCACACAGGTATAAATGAGTTTGTTTGTTCCTTAACGCCGCACCCAGCAATACTCCTGCAATACGACGGTGGTCTGAAAACAACCGAGTCTATCCAGATAATCCAGTGATCAGTGATCAGTATCAAGAGCAGTGATCCATGTCGTTGGGGCGGGACGCCACGTTGTCAACCAAGTCACCAATATATGTATGTGTGTTTGTGTGTTTGTTTGTTTAACGTCACACTCGACAATATTCAATCTATATGACATCTGTAAATAATCGAGTCTGTGTGATATCATGAG